GTGTTCATCCAGCTCTACACCTTGTTATCTCATACTTCATCAGTTGTTCATTTGCTTCATGATGGTGTATGGCAGTTGTGAGACAGTATTTAGAAATTTAATTCTGCGTCATTTTTCTTTGTTTTCAGAGTATACAATGCAGTCCCCATGTTAAAATTATCCATTATAAAAATTGAAAATGCTGGAAATACTCAAACAGGTCTGGCAGCAACTGTGGAAGAGAAACAGTTAACATTTCAGAGCATGAACTCACAACCAAAACATCAACATTATTAAGATCATTAAACTTATTTTGTGCTATTTTGTTCTGGTCCTTCAGAATCAGCTCCTGACACTGACTGCCACAGATATGTCCGTTCACGGACTGCTGAATTATGTATGAAAGGCTTCCTAGCTCCCTGTAGATGGATGACACCCCTCCAACTCTTCAGCCAAGGCCTTCAGTGCAGCTCTGGAAAATTTTGAAGCTCATCTCTGCCCTATTGGACCATCCTACAATATGAGGTCTTGCTCACGCTCTTGTAACTAACCAGCCAGAATGCATTCCTCCAACTTAAGAGGCACAGGCTGGTTTTATGTGATGTTAGCCTCTCCAATTTTGCACAAGCCCTTTGCTAAGAAGTGCAGCAATTCAACAACAGATGCTGCATTGGACAGAAGGTAATTAGGCCAATGTGACTGCCAAGTCTGCTTCTAAGTCATAAAATGTTATAGTCTTGATCTTCTATAAATCACTTTTGGGCTGAACTGTATGCTGAAGGTGAATATCAATGCTGGGAATGAGGTTCAGAGGAAAAACTTTTAATGGGAAGAAAAACACCCAAAAAGGCAAGGATCACTACTTGGTAATTCTGAAATTAGCCCATATCTAATTACTCTATATTTACGATGACTGATATGGACACCAGACATCCTCTCGTGTCGAAACTGGGATGCCAATTCATCCTAACTTGCATAATTTAATACTGTGGATTTGCAAAACAAGACCAAATCAATATTGCTGGGGAGAGAAATGTTGCTGAAGCTTTTTGTCTAGCACTCATCAGGACAAACACAAGAATGTTATACTTCAAACAATCACACCAATTTATACTGCAGGAGAAAAGGATGCTGATTGGTTGGCAAGCTAAATGTGTTTGCTAATTGCTAACTGCCGCTGAGAAAGCGATGGCTTTCTGCAAGGTCCCCTTGCTTCTGGGCAATTACCATTCAACTCTCACTCCACATTCAATTTTGTGTGATCTCTATAACCTGCAAGTAGGCATCCTACCAAAATGGCCTGGGCTTGCACCTGGGGCAAGAGAGGTTTCAACAACATAACAATCGCTGGGTATCTTTCGAGGCGAGATGATTATCCATGATAAAATATAACAACGAACCGAAAATGCTGGAAATCTGAAACAAAAACACAAATCGCTGGAAAAACACAATAGGTCTGACACGACCTGTGGAAAGAAAACAGAGTTAATGTCTCTAGTCAAGAGGCCCTTCTTCAGAACTGATAGCTAGGAAAAGGTGGTATATATGAAGATGGGAGTAGGGGGAGGAACGAGTGGATAGGCAGAGATGGGGCCCAAAGAGAAAGAAAACAACAGTTAGGAAGACAAAAGCGTGGACAATATCAGGCTCAGGAGAAAGAAAAACTAATAATGTGGATCGTAGGTAGGTTAGCTGCGCTGAAAGAGCCCATGTTATGACAAAGCTAGGTGTGTGAGAGTGGGTTTAAAAAAAAAAAGTGTTCAGGTTCTAAAATTACTGACCTTAATATTAAGTCCTGAAGGCTACAGGAATCCCAAACAGAAAGTGAGAGGCTGTTCTTTGAGCTTGCACTAAGCCTCACTGCAGTGTTACAGCAGGCCTGAGACAGAGATGTTGGTATAGGAACACAGTGATGTGTTCAGGTGGCAGGCAACTGGAACCTCAGAGTAATTTTGTGGATACAACATAGGTGCTCTGCAAAGCGTTTGCCCAACCTGTTTTTCGTCTCCCAAGGTAGAGGAGACCACATTTGTGAGCAGCAAATACAGTAAACTAGATTGAGGGAAATGCAGGTAAATCGTTCCTTTACCCTGAAGATGGGCCTGAAGCCTTGGATAGCAAGGAGGAAGGGTGCAACTGGACAAGTGTTACAGAATATGTCCCCAGCAACAGTCTCCTACAAGTGGACACCAATATTCCTTCAGTTCAAATCCTCAAGATGCTTCTTCTTCCTGCTGTGGAGCATCTGCCCTGACTGAGCGGAGAGAAAAAAATTCATCTGTTTTGGGAGTCTGGTATCTGAAATTTGGATAGGGACTGACCCAACAAAATTGATGATAGGACAATCATGGCCTTGATACTTGCAATGGCCACAGATACCGACACCAGATATCCTCTAAATCACTGATTCAGACTGCCAATTCATCCTTCCTTGTACAATTTTGTGTTGTGGTCACTTATGCCTGTCCTCCCACCTCATAGATAGGATCTTTTACAGCAATAGTAGCTAGTTTGACCCCTGCTTTGAGGTGACTTCTGTACAGTGTCCACACTGGAGTCCTACATTGTAAGGTAGGAATCATGACCACATGGTAAACCATGAGCTTGGTTTTAGTTTTGATGTCACAATCTAGGAACTCTAGCTTCTTCAATAGATTTCAGGTAATACTTTATCAATGTTTCAACAGTACCATTTAGCTTTGAATCACTAAATGTGTAAGCATGTTTCAGTCTTCCTTAGATGTGCGGTCTGACATATAACATCAGGTTTAAAGTTCTTGTTCTACAAAACCGTTGCAATATTACATATCCAAACAGTTACACAAATGCACTTGTGACTACGTTTGCGCATTGTCTGCCTAAATTAATTCTAACACTTAAGGACGCAACAAGCTTCTTTTCAATAATTTTACAAGAAAGCGTTCTACAAACTTTAAGCACCAGTATACAAGTCAAAAATAGACATTAAAGTCCATTGGAATCTGCTGCAGTTTATTCGTCACCTTATGTTGTCCAATAACTGAACTGTACTAAATGTTCCATAATTGGAAACTAAAGTCAATTACTCCCAGGAGCTGTAAATGCAGTCTGACCTTCTGTATATGCATGTTTGTTATTTAACAACATGCCCAATTCCAAAACAACTCAGAGTACGTACTATTGATCTAATCCTACATATAGAAGTATTTATCACCAACAGTAAACAAGCACCATTTTCAGACTCAGAGCTTTTATGCATTAATGTTCCAAACTTGCACATAAAAGGCAGTTAGCTTCTACCAACAACTGCTGTACATCATTATACAAGTGTTTGGCATAGTAACTCAATTTGACTGTAGGAACCACAGCCTACCCAGAGTTGTAGTCGTATTGCTCTCTGAACACAAGATTTCAGAGAGCTTCTGATTCTTTTACTACAATGACTGATAGGTCACAAAGGTAATACATCGAAGTCAAGTCAGTTTCATCCTAATGGTTTAGTGATAATGCTTAACTTGTTGGGGTAGGTGTCAAGGTGATCTCACACTCAGCCCTTGATTAAAAAAAGAATGATGATATAGTGCACTTCAGATAGCTCATCAAGATGATAATTCTGGATCTCCGTTAATAAATCTGAGGATTGCAGCTTTTCAAAACAGAAAGGTAGTGGAGGCATTGCAAAAGGTTGAAGTGGAATCAGGGTACAGAGGGAAGAGATCTCTCTGTATCTGGTTACTGTCTAGTTAACCCAAATGGTCATACTAACACTACGGAAAGATGTAGTCAACGTAAAAAGGATTGAACTCAGACTTGATCTCTGCTGTGTCACATTATTCTCTCCTCCTCCTCCCCAAACAAGTAACCTATTGAAGAAAGAAAAAAAAAAAAAAACCATGCCCCTGCACATGGTCCTCAACAGCAATTTTCATTCAGCAGTGCTTGGAGTACCCAAAGTCAGACTAAAATCACTCATCAGGAGAGTAGAGAAAGAAGGAAATTGAAGAGGCCAGGGAAGGGGTG